AAAATGGTTTTCATTAATATTGTTGATTCTTTTCTCCTTTATATAGTTTACCCGCTGGGCCTTTGCCTGCGGTTGATTACTATTTTCGCTACTTTCGCGATGAGGTTTTAAATTATTGAAGTGTCGTTGCATCCTTCCATGATTTTGTGGTGATCCATTTGGATTCCAAAAATTGTTGTTGTTACCTCGAAACTGTGGTATCTGTCTGTTTTGAGGATGTGGCCTTTGTTGTATGGATGTATCAACATCCATTGGTTCAGGCTTAGGAAAATTATTTTGCCTGGGCTTGTTTACATTTGCGCGATTAAAGCGCAAGTTATTGGAGAAATTATTCTGATTAAAAGTTTTTCTCTGATCAGAGAATTGGAATGCGAATTTTGCACGCAAATTATTGGATTCTAACTCCTGAGCTTTGGCTAGAGCGTTAAGTAAATCTGTAGGTGAAAGGGAAAATAATATTTCATTTAATGGAGCGTGTAGCCCAGTAATGAACACTCTTAAGGCGTTCTGACGATTTTTGTTATTTAATTCACGAGTAATAGACGAGTCATTACCGTGAGTCATTATTGTTTTGTTTATTAAAAGGGTTAATTTTTTATTAACCAGATTATAATAGTCAAGGACTGTGGATGAGCCTTGTCTAAGGATACTCATCTCTTGTTCAATGACATGAATTGGACGCTTGTCAGCATAAGCAAAATCAAGTCTGCTTATAATGGCGTCATAATTAAGGACAGTTCCATGATTGGTTAGTACATCGTTTCCTTGATGAACTATTTTGTTCCTTAATATTGTTAGGGCAGCAAAATATCTTCGGCTACCTCTGGTGTAGAGGCTCATGCAATTGTGAGCTGCTTCTCTCCAACTAACGTAAGAATTTTGACTTCCAGTAAATTCTGGAATGGATTTTATTATATCTAGGCTTTCGTCACAAGTTATTGTCTCGTCAATGGTTTGTGGTTCGTACTCTACAACGTTATTTGTACCAGTCAGTGTTTGAATTTGACATTTCAAACTTCTAACTTCTTCCCTAAGGGATAACAGATTAACAGAGATCAATCTGCTGATCGTCTCTTGAGTTATTGTGGTAGATGGTGTAGTGTTTGTAGCCATTTTGGAGAATTTTTTTACTAAGTCCTCCAGGATTGTTTATTACGTTTATAAGAAATTTTACAGACCTTTTTTGTCTGATAGAAAATTTATAATAATTTATCCCAGGTTTATTGAAAAAGGAATATTTTCTTAATTGTATATATAATTGTTAGTAAATACAAAAAATTTTTATTTAATGCACCCAGCGTAAACGCAGTTATAGTGCTACAAAAATATTATTGACTGTGCAAGTGAATGCATCGTCAATTTTATTAGTATAATTATAATTTATTAAATATTTTTATATATTTGTATATTTTTAATGAATTAATAAATATATATTTATATACATTGATTTTTAATAAATAATAGTATTAGCATCCGTAAAGAAATACCTCCTTGCTGCTGTTAAAATACCTCCAGTAATTTGTTTATAGATGATGTTGATCCTCTCAGTACCAATAGTAGAGAAGTTATTGTAATTGCTTCTGTAGTTGATGCTCCAAAGGCTTAGCAGCAACCTTGTTTATAAAATTCAACAATTTTTTATAGATGTTTTTACACATGTGTTTTAATGTAGTACAATTGTTATTTAATGTTTTCAGTTATTATGAAGTTTGACTCTAAACTTCAATATTAGCTTTATGGATAATTTTATATATCCTTTAGTGTTAATAATTAAAAAATTTTACACATGTAAAAAATTTTGTTCACTCACGAAATCTCGTTTTTTATTATTTGAGATTTTTTTATTAACGCGTTTTTTCGCATTTGCGTGAGTTCACTGTATATTTTGTAACTCGCGAAATCTCGTTTTATAATATTAGAGATTTTTTATTATTCGCGAGCCCCACGTTGGGCGCCAATTAATATTCGGGTTCGTATATTAATATTTTTAAAAAAATTATATTTTATTTTTTAATGTGTTTATTTTATTATTAATAATTTTAGTTACAATTTTTATTACAAGTTCTTGAATATTTAATGTATAAAATATATTTAATTTTTTATGTTATTAGAGGAACCGACCAACGACTTTATTTTTTAACGACTGCTTTCTAACGACTCTTTAACTGAACCGTTTATGTTTAACCTTTCCTAACGACTGACTATTCAAAGTTTTTCCTTTGATGCCTGAAATCGTTATTGAAAATCTGAAATTGGATTTTATCCAATTAAATTCAAGCTTCTAAAATTCCTAAGAATTTTCTAGAAGCGTCTTTTCTCCATCCAATAGGATTGGAGCTTCTATTTGCTAAAGCACCTCGTCAGCGTCTTTAGCTTTGGCGTCAATAGCCAGATGAATAGTCATTTTCATGGTGCTTAAACACAATTTAATATTTTTATTTAATTTATAAAAAAAGTATTCTCGTAAGCTTTTTTAAGTAAGCATAAAGTGGCGATAAAATAATTTAAATGAAACATTTTGGTGCAAAAACATAGAAGCTAACATTCCAAAGTTAACATACTTAAGCTACTTTCAAAGAAATCATTGATACAGTGCAGAGGTAGTTAACTACCCATCCGGACCAAAATGGGTTAAGCCGAAGACGCAGGAATATGGAGTTGTAACGATGATTCCCCAGCGTATTGAATTTATTAAAAAAAACACCAACTGTTGATAAACACAAGATATAATATTCGTAGAATTTGGTTTTTGACATAGCCAAGCATAGATTTTCTAATTATCGCGAATTAAGCCGAAGACGCAGGAATACGCAGTTGTAACTATGATTCCCCAGCGTATTGACGTTATAAAAAAAAACGCAAGCTGTATTTACTATACATACGTCTCTTACATAACACACATAAAAAAAATTATATATAATGGTATTATAGAACGAGCTTACCAAGATTTTATTATTCTTCTTTTGTTATTCAATTCCTTAGTGCTTCCTGCTCCTTCTCATATCTGCCAAAGCTACGTGCTAGTTAATACCTTCAATCGAGATTTCCCATAGGGAATTTTTTTAAGTTTATTGTTTTTACTGATACCCATTATTTTATCAGAACTTATCTGCTTATTTTTGTGTTTATAAGAGTCCCTGGGGTTACGGGAGTTAATTCTTGATTGCAATTATTTTAAATTAGTGTAACCAACGAGTATTTAATACATAGAGTGTGCATCAGGAACAAATTCACTGATCACACTGCGGGTCTACTGATAGACCCGTTTTAGGCTTTATTTTTAGTGTAACCATTGAATTGTTGAAACTTTGAATATTACGATTAAATTTTCCAAGTTTCTGAGGCTTACACTTAGAAACATTGTATTTAATATTTTTAAAATAACTCAATGGATCAATTAATCACTCGAGCATATTATTTATCTATGTGAATACCGATAATATCATTCCACATAGGTAGAAATGAAATATATTTATTTAAAATTGAATTTGCCAATTGTGGACAATATAATTCATTTTTCTCAATATTATTGCATGAAGTACTATTAAACTTCATAAATTCGACGCTAAAGGGCCTGTATTCTGATACAGAAGCCAAAGTATCAGAAGTTTCTTTGAAAGTTGGAATTTCATTAAATTCATCTGAATTGAAGTTGAATTCAAAATCTAATCAATCTGTCATGTCTTTCTATTTAGTCAAACTCTCAAGTGCGTTCTTCACTTTGGGTGTATTATTTTTGGTGCATAAAAAACCGCATTCTTTGCAGTCTTTTGTGATACATAAATTGAAAACTATTCCCATAGATGCTCTTAAGAATTTTCTTAAATTTTTAAGCGTGAAATTATTATTTTCTTAAAAATATTAACTGCTTTGTCTATGTTTTTACAAATGATTTTGCAGTAGTGGCTAACATAAATTTGTATGACAACAAAACACAATTTTTTTGGATTATTAACAAAAGTGTATGAATGGTTTAAATATTCTAAGACTTCAATATTGCCCCAATTATAGCGAAAGCAACATCTGTTACAATTCTGCGATGAATTGTCCAAAAATACTTTTGAAGCATATTTATAAATGCCTTGGACTTTCAAACTTTTTTTAACAAAAAAATTTTAATATTAAATTTGTAAGTACAATGTTATAAATTGATTGAATTATTGATATTAAAATATTAAGATTGAAATATTAATATTGAACTATTTAATCATCTATTTAATTATTTCTTCTGCGGTGGTTGTTGCAGCAGTTGCTGGGGCTGCTGTTGCTCCTGCTGTTATGGTTGTTGCAGTCGGTGAAACTGATGGCGCTCTCTGCCATTGTTGTAACCACTGGTAGTGGCTCCATTGTGTTGGCCCGAAGTGTTGTTGTTTTGCTTTGGGCAGTAATGAGGTATCAAGTTTAGATTTAATGAACCTAGATTTAGCAAGATAAGGTAGTAAATAATAGATCATGATCGGAAACAAAGGAAATCTGCAGGCCGATTCCACTAATCGCTATCGCTAAAATTCTTTAAATGCATTTTAGCAATTTTTGCGATTCTGCTAACTCGTTACGCTTAATTTCTATTCGCTAATTTTCTCAACTTTCAAAAACAGCTGATTTTTCCGGATAAATCGCTAAATCGCCAAATTTCGTATTCTGCTAAATTGGCAATCGCTAAATTTCGTTAAAAACGACTAAAATTTCTCCTAATTTGATTGTTTTTGGCGACTAGGTTTTTGCTGTCGCTTAAAGTGAAAGTATTATTTTTTAAACAAATTGAGCAATTATTTAAAATAAAATATAAAAATAAATTATATAGAAAATATATAGAAATAAATTTTGCATTTAAAGTAAAATGAAAAAAAAAAATTAATATTACAAAAATTTTGTGGCAGTAATATTAATAAAATAATATTAAAATAACAATATAAATAAATATATATTTAAACTTTTAATAAAAAGTCAATTAAATAAAACCCAATTAATATTGAAAATAATTATTGATTATTTCATCATCTCTTGCTAGAAACGCTTCAGGGACGGGTTCTTGTGCTTCAAAGTCATTATCTTCATTTATTTCTTCGTCCGTGTTTTCTACGCACTCAACATCATTAACTTCGTTCATTACATTATGTGTAATAATGAAGTTATGTAGAACCAAACATGAATTAACAATTTTGCCCGCTGTTTCAGGATCATACATTAAAGTTCTTTCGCTGCTAAGGCAACGAAATCTACTTTTTAATAATCCGAAAGAACGCTCAATGCAATTTCTCGCCTTTCGATGTTGCACATTATAATTGTTATGTGCCGTCGACAAATTATTTCCTCGAACAGCAGGTGTCATCAAAAAGGGTAAGAGGGGATAACCGCTATCTCCTAAAAACAAAAACAGAATCAGTTTCTCAAAAAAATTAATGTACAATCAAGTTTTACCTATTAACCGGAAATTTCGGTCCCCATTTTCGTACTTTCGAGTAAGAAGCACTCGTAAGGCGCTGGCTCTCCATATGGATGCATCATGTGCAGTGCCGCCGAAGCGAGCATTACAAGGTATACATAACATATATAACATTATATAGATAATAAATTTAATCTGAGGAATCTGAGTACATCCCCATACGCGGATATTTATGATACGGGACATAAGAACGGGTCTCCTCAAGTATATCTCGTTTGGCATCCTCCATTGAATACTCTTCCTCCAGCACATAATCGCCCATTAAACTGGTACTAGATAAACGTCGTTTTGTGGGATTAACAGTACCAGAAGCACCATCATTTTCAATCTCGGATACACTAGCATCTGTGGGACCAATCAATTTACGTAAGGCTTCTTTACGTTGGATTTTACAGGGTATGCATCTACATTTTGGAATATCGATACCGTCGCATTCTTCGCATACACACTTACAAGAAACACCGGTTACACATCCTGAACACCGGTAGGGGTACCTTAAATGCAGCAGCTTACCCCCTTTAACAAAACTACCGCGGTAACGCGAACAAGATGCATTAGAGTCTGAAATATATATATTAATAAAAATAATAATAAATAATAAATAAAAATATGTTTCACAAATAAAATGTGTTTTTACAAATATAAATAAACTTAAACATAAATATAAAATAGGAGAAAAGATATAACATATGTGGTGGATTGAGAATTATAACTTACTATAAATTAGATATAATTTACAATAAATTGTATATATTACTATACATATAATATATTGATTTCTTACCATATTCGGAGGATGATGAGAGACCATACAGCATCCTTTTCTGCAGACATACACATGCTCAATAGCTAAATTAGGGGTTTTAATTTTTATATGAGTGCAATCAATTGCACCAATTACCCCTGGAAACCGAAACTTTTCATAAAATCTGCAAATAATTGTCGATTAACTACATTGTATTTTAACACAAGATTTCGAAGATATACTTCTCTTTTATAGCGCATAATTCCTGAATTGTTCTGGGCAATTTGATGTACTTTACTACAAAATACCGATTCATTATATTTGCAACCTCCTTAACGCATCTACTAACAACTGCTTGAGAAACATTTAACAAAAAGCTTTGGCCCACAGAACGCTGATAACATCCTATAAATTAACATAATTGATTCACTTTTTTTGCAATTATTAAATATCAACTTACCTTGAGCAAAAAAGCGCAAAGCAACAAGTACGCGTATGTCCCTCGAAATTCCATCTGATCGACTTCTCGGTACCATGTACGGAGTTATTTCTGCCAAGAAAAGCTTACATAAATATTTCGAAAGACGAAATATTTCAATAAAACGCGCATCAGATATAGCGAAGGGGTCTGTAGAATTCCGCAAACATTTTCTTTTCCAACGTAAAAGATTCCGTGAATCTCTCACATCACCAGAAAAAAAAAATCTCCTTCTTATCAAAAAGTCCATTATTTAATTAATTCACACACCAATGTTATATTAATTGAATATTAATTTAAATTTCACAATTGCTAAATATTTTTTGTTGAAGTATGTGCTTTTAAATTTAAATTCAAATTTAAATTATAAGTCCAACAGCTGATATTTGTTTACAATTTTTGTATTTATTTTGACATTTCAGTGCATTTCAGCATTATCCGCATCGCCGGATAAATTTAGCGAAGAGATTGTGTTAGCAAAATCGCACAATCGCTAATTCTCCTAAAATAAGCGAATCGCTTATTTAAGAATTTTAGCGAAGAGATTGGAGTTTTAGCGATTAGTGATATCTGCCTGCTGATCAAATAACAACATTTTGGTCAGATCAGACACGATCACTAAGTCGAGGAGACTTGGGCGTACATTATTACTATATCTAGTAGGCACGGTATTATTCACAATGCTTAAACCAACCATAGCTATAAGGTCGTTTAGTGCAGAAACTTTAGCATTACTTAAAAGAATATCGGTAATGAAATTGCCAAATATGGCATCACTACAGTACCTTTTGCTGAAATTGTAAGCACATGTAACTATAATTTTTTGACTACCTAAATAAATACATACACATATGAATTCAATTTCACTTTCCTCAGATACACAGATCAAATGACTTTTTAAATATGATTTACAAAAAATAGCAACGCCGCCACCCAATTTATGTTTTCTATCATGTCGAAATAAAACAAAGTGGTTTATAGAGAGGTATGAACTATCTTCGAAAACAGCTCTCACATGATCTAATTTTAAGCCAGAAAAACTTCTCGCATTAAAATGAACTATATTAATACCACGTTGTTTACAAAAAATATTAATTAAAGTTTTATCTTCCATGATTAATAATTAGTATTTTCTGCTTCTAGTTTAACTCTCCGTTGTAAAGTCTTACCCATAAAATCTCTGCAATTATGGTCCGTACTCAGCTCACAAAGTTTAAAAGTATTTTTTGCCTTAACACAATTAACACATTTAGTGAAAACATTCTTGCAGTCCTTATGAGTATGCCCTGTCTCACTACATTTAGCACATACATTATCAATTTCTTTGCATACACTTGCTTTATGATTGAAGCCCCAGCATTTATAACATCTCATGACATTCAAAGATTCATAAACGATGCACCTATCCCACCTGATATTGATTCTACGATCTTTCATTACTTGTTTGAAAGCTTTACCGTCTAATTCAATTATGGTGTTTAATGTTTTCTTTTTTTCTTTTTTTTTTGGAAGATTCGTATACTTTCAAAACTTTTAGGTGTTGGAACGAGATACTATATTGATTTTTTATTGCGAGAAGTAAACTATCGCCATCTAATTGTTCACTCATTCCTGAGATTAACACTTTGGGATTACGCAGTGAAGGAGCTCCAATGATGTATTGATCACTTAGTTTTTTTTTGATATCATTAGCAAGGATTTCACGTTCTTTAGAGTTAATACACTTAATAGTTACTCTGCCATCATGCCTAGTCTGAAACCCGTTAACTTTAATATTGAGCTGAGTTGGGTTAATTTTATTTTTCAAGTCTTTTTTAGTCTCTTCACTCTGTTGTTTACTTATGGGTTTCACAGCAATAGGTACATTAGCATTGATACCCATTTTTAGCTTAGCAGAAAGGTCAACATAGTGTACATATAGTGTACATAATAAGGCTATTAATATTCGATTGTTCAACACCAGAACATTTAGTGGCAATGTGATATGCTTTATCACATACACCATCACAAACTAAACCAGTCTCTCCACGTATTGTAGAACGACACTTATTACACTCTTTCATTATAAATCAAAATATTTTATTTGCTTTAATCAAATATAATGTTACTTAAGATTAAAGTTATTTATAAATTTTTGAAACCGTTTTTGTGATTTTCAACGAATATAAATTTATTAGTTCTATAATTATTATTGTAATTTCACAAGGCTTTTTTATTTTCCACGAGTATATAGATAAAATATAAGAGAGGAACCAAAACCAACAAGAAAAAGAAGTAACGACCTTTTCAATGTAGAGTTCAATTTATTCTGATAAATGATCAGAATTTTACAAAAACTTTAAGAAAGTTTAGCATACACATAATTTGAGTAACTCTCAATAATCAAAGCTCCTTCTCAAGTAATAAAATTATAAACTTTGAATATAATTTATAATGCTTGATCGATCCAACACAATTATATAAAATAAATTTCAAAAATAAAAATCAACTAACGTTTTTTATTTTATGCATTAAACAATATTTGCATATAAATTTTACTTGCGCAATAGCGGCAGTATTTATTCGTATTCCGAGGATTCTGAAAAGAAACAAGAAATTAATTTATATTTTACACTCCTTTTATATTAACATATATATAAATTTTATTTTAAAAACACATTATTATAAAATCAAAGGTATGTATCGACTTATAATGTTGGTTGTTCAACAATAATTGAAGTATTTAAGTTCCTGCATTTGCCTCCCAGTAGAAAACGGATCGATCCGTCATCGAAGACGTCTTCAAGACATGGATACATACATGAAGACCGATCGATCCACATGTATGACGGTTTTCGAAGACATTTTCATACAAATTAGCCAAATGTCTTCAATAAATTTTTGCGTATATGTCTCGAATACCGTCTCGAAGAAATAAATTTCAAATTTCCTTTAAATAAGTAGAAAAAAATTTGTATGATGTAACTAATTGTATTTTTATTTATTTTATATAATAAGTTTTTACATTACATTTAAAATTAGAAGTTTTAAAAGTAAATTAAAAATTATGATATTAAAAATAAATTAAATTAAACAATGAAACTTAACAACTAATAAATATTATAAAAATTAACTCAAATATTTAACTTATAACTTAACATATCTTAAATTAACTAAAACTTACTTGTATATAAAAATATATATTATAATATAAAATAATTTATAGCATGTCGGAATCGAATCATCATTTGTCGATGTGTTCTCTTTTCCTTTTGCCCGAAAGTATTGTTTATTGAAACGATTTTTAGCCAGACTTAACGCATTCCGCAGGTCTGCTATAAAATCATTGAATGATTTTCCATTTCTTCTCGCTTCTGTAAATTAAAAAGAATTGTTATTTTTAAAAAGCAAATATAAAATAAGTTCTGTAATTACCAAAAATAGCATCCAGCAAAAATGGATACTCCCGCAAAGACGTTTTCCCTTTTACACCACCGCAGTTATGAGAGCGAATTATATTCTTACTGAAGATGGCTTCAATATTAGCAACATTCCCCGACAAGATTTTTTTCATTGATTCAATCTAAATAAAAGTAAAGAATATAGGTTATTATAAATACAATATATATATTAAATGATATACTTAATGAATTAAAAATGTATATATTCATATGTATATTATATGAAAATTTTTTGTTGAATACTTACAATTTCCAATTTCCTGTCTCCTTGTAATTCCTCATTAATAAATTTTTGTGCCCACTGTACTAAATGTAGCCCCAAATTTTTTCTCAGTAAAACATTATTTTCGGTCAACATATCTGCCAATTTGTCCTGCCTTTTTTCCACGTTGTCAATCCTTTTATTTAATTGTTCCATATTGTTCTCCAAAATAGACCGCAAATTAGTTTTATTTTTACTCTTGTGATTTTATAGTCAAAAAGAGATTTAAGGTGGACATTAAACTCATTGGAGACGCGGTAAGGATTAGACGATCGCATGAAGACAAGGCAGTCGTCTGCGAAGCCGCGGGAGCGGGATGTTACCTATAAACAGGTTGAAAAGGAGGGGTCCAAGAACCGAGCCCTGAGGGACGTCGGCGTCGATTGAGAAATCACGGGACAGAGAGGAACCGACTCGAACCTGAAAGGTTCTGTTGGAAAGAAATTTGTGGACTACACTGCAGAGCGTAGGAGAGAAGCCGAACTGGTGAAGCTTAAGAATTAAGCCTTCAAAGCAGACAGTATCAAAGGCTTTTTCAATGTCAAGACTTAGTGCCACAGTGGGCAGCTTATTGAAAAACCCTACGCATATCTCATTTTGGAAATGATGCAGGGCATGGACGGTGGAGGTTTGGCTCCTAAAGCCGAACTGAAAAGGGGGAATAATGTTATTCCCAGAGGAGAAGAACTTCAGCTGGCATGCTATGAAAGTCTCATAGAGCTTACTGACAGAGTTAAGAAGAGAAATAGGACGATAGCTGAAGGGGTCAGCTTTGGGTTTACCACTTTTGGCAATGGGACAAACTATGGCCTTCCTCCATGGCCAGTGCTGTACGCATGGTTGAAGAGCATGTCGCACTTTTTAAAAACGAGTGGTGAGAAACGCCTCATGGCGTAGAAAGACACACAGTCAGTGCTAGATGACTTTTAGGGCGTTTTGAGCCAAAGCATGTCGATGAGTTTGGAAGGACGTAAAGTGGCACTCGCCTAGGCCAGCCGTAAGTAGGTGATTAGTCACAAAGACTTCACCAAAGCAATTATGGTGTCCAGGTTCTTGAGGATGGCTTGGGACGCATGAGCTTGCGTTGAAGCTACCTGTCTAAGGCGATAAGTTCGGCGGCGAAGCGATTTCCTCAGTTTAATGAGGCGAAGGGTAAAAACATCAAGTGGATCTTGATACTATGGTTCAGTATACGCATATGTATGTATTAAGAGCTCCGTATTTTAATAAATAAATAAAATAAATAAATATAAAAATTTTTAAACAATTCTGATGGTGCAGTTACAATCTCATTTTCTTTCCGTATTGACTTAAAACATGATTGACAATCAATTTTTGCTAATTATTTAAATGCTTTATATACCAGAAAACAACGAAACGATGGAATCTCAGTTTCTGTTATTTCAAAATCTGTTGGACTATAGGTCACTATACAATTTTCAATTAATCTTTCACTACAAATCAAATTCCGAATCGTCTTCTTTAGTTATACATGAGATAGTATTTGTATTCGAAATGCTGTCCATTATTGCCTCGAAGGTGTGATCATCTTCTACTATCTCACAATTACCATCAGGAGAAGCTACAATAATTTTTCTGGTCATTGGTTTAGCTAAAATTTGATTAACTTCGGACACCGAAGGATGTTTGTTGTATCCTCCATTTTGTCGTAAAATTGAAAAAGTGTTTTCCCCAGTCTGTCTTGGCATAAATAATTTGTCATTACAAAATAAATGTCATTATCTTTTGCAAAAAATTCTTCTGTAAGCTACAACACAGCATTTAAAGTAATTTGAATACCTTTAACGAAATACACCTTTTTTGTTGAGTCTACAAATTTTAATGATCCAAAGTATTTCAAAAACACTTTTATGTAAATGCGGTTATTTTTGTTTTTTTTAGAATATATTAACTTTTATTTCGAAAGTTTTATGTTGTGTATCCCTACACGTGTTTCGGCAAATTCGCTTTTGCCTTCATCAGAAGAATTCCTAATATTTTCCTAATATCTTTTATATAATTTAAATCAACGCTTTTTTTTTGTAAAGCAAAACAAAAAGGATTCTTTAAATAGAGAGTGGTGAAATTTATACAATCAAAGATTTTGTCCATTTTTTCTACAAAATTTGCTGTTTCTAAAGCGTCTTCTTCAGATGAATTGGTAAATCCGACTGTTTCAACCACTGTTTTTATAGCACCATGCACTGTTCTGCTAAATAATTGAGTTGCGAACTTCACCTTCATCTTTTCAAAATTTTTGAGAAAGACGTATTGCCTTGTTATCTTGGGGCACAATTTTATAATAGCAGTATGCTCCCGTCTCCACAGTTCTTTCAATACATTAAAACTTATAATGCCATCTGATGCTTTTATATTTGTAATCAGAAGTCCATTTCGCATACTTTTAATTAAATGTGGAAAATATTATATTGTTGAAATACAAAAAAGTGTTTTCTGGACTAACCTGAAAACACGAAAATGCCTTTCTATTAGTTGAACCCTGATCGCATGTTATTAGGCGTACCGTTATACATGCTTCTTGCTCCAAATTTCTTGAAATTATATTGCTCAGGCAATTTTCTTCTAAACCATTTTCTGACAAAATAATTAAGAATTATTGACCAATTAGAGAAAAGACCTTTGACAATAAATAGACAAAGGCTTTTAGCAATAGTTTTACTTCTAAAAAAGTCAAGTTCTTCAAAGCCATTTATTTGGTCTAAATTAGCGTTGTAACGTAATTCTAGCCTTAGTCTCATTTCATCAACAACTAATATTGCAAAGTCCTTTTGTTGTGTTCCTAATCATTCAAAACACCTTCCTATTCTCGATAATAAAATTCAACACGTAATTTCTTAATAGTATGTGTTCATTTTATTTAATTATTGTTATAATGCATAAACTCAAAGTCTTGAAATTTTAAATTTTTGCCGATCGACCTGACTCTGATGACACCCTATTGAAGGTGCATCCATAACACTTTTTAACTTGTCTGAGTACGCTGGCTTTCTTTCTCAAGCTTTCGAAACCTGTATTTAAAAATTCTCATTTCAAATTTTTTATATGTGACCAGTTGTTGATTGTTTTTTCATGTGGCTAATTAATTTTCAATTTATTTCTTAAATATATATATATGCCGATCGAGATACGTGAAACATATTTTAAGCTACTAGTTTCGTGTTCTCATTATATTCCTTCTGTCGCGCTTTTAGGATCATTTTACAAAAGTTTTTGGTCTCAGTATTTACATTTGCAACAGAGTCAATGGCCTGAACTACAGCGTTTTTATTTGCAGTAATTTTTGTACTTTTTCTTTAATTTTATGTTTTCCTTAAGAAGATTGACATATTTCCTTCTGTATGTGTTTACGCGTTTAGTTTGTATTTCACAATTACAGCAGAATACCTCATCTTGCATACCACCTGTTGGGGCTTCAAGCGTTTTTGAAGCCACTGCGAAATAAACGAAAAACGAGGACACACAAAAAAAGCAGAACCGACTCGTTCAAGTTTCACACAAATAATAATTCTTTATTGAATTCAAAAAAAAATATAATACAATTATAGGGTTGCCAAGTGCAACCAAAAATAAAGTATTAAAATATTAAATATTTTATATAAAATAATAGCAATCATTTCACGAACATTCTCCCCCCATTGGAACGGTCGCGTTCCAAGAGAGATCATTTACAGGCAAGATGCAAAGCTTTGTCACGGCACGTTTGAAAACCCCATTTTTGGTACGCACTACCACAACACGTACGACACCATCAGGACCAGGTATAATTTCAATAACTCTACCTAGTAACCAGCGCAGTGGTGGAAGATTATCATCCTTTAAAAGCACTATTGCACCGAGAGACATATTAGGAGTAGAGCTTCGCCATTTTGTTCGTTCTTGTAACAATGTAAGATACTCAGTGCTCCAACGTTTCCAAAAAACTTGTTGTATGTGTGAGATACGCTGCCAATGATCAAGTCGATTGAAATTCAAGATTGTTAGGTCAGGCTCAATGATAGATGTTAATGGAGCACCAATTAGAAAGTGGGCAGGTGTGAGAACATCAAGATCTTCAGGACACTCTGAAAGTGGGAAGAGCGGACGAGAGTTAATGATGGCAGCAATTTGACAAACCAGTGTGCGTAGTTCATCAAAATCTAAAATTGTTAGACCAATTGCTCGGCAGAAGTGCCATTTCGCTGTTTTTATGGCAGCTTCCCACAGGCCACCAAAATGTGGCGAACCAGGAGGTATGAACTTCCATTCAATGCTGTCACTAAGACATTGCTGTTGTAGCTGCTCACGATGTTTTTGAGAGAAGAAAAGTCTTCTAAGTTCGGCCAGTTGATTTTTGGCACCGCAAAAATTTGTAGCATTATCTGACCAAATAATTTCAGGTTTGCCACGAGTTGAAACGAAACGTTGTAGTGCTGCTAGAAATGCTGACGTTGTTAAATTTTTGACTAATTCTAAGTGGACAGCTTTGGTTGCAAAGCAAATGAATAAGCAAACATAGCATTTGCTATGCCAGTAATGACGAAAGCACGAGTAGGATGAACACGATCCTTAGGTAATTGTCCCATGATATGCTTTGCAGTTGTTGGTTTGGCTCGAAAACATATAATACATTGGTTGATGACTTTTGATACTAGCTTTCTACCTCCTATCGGCCAGTACTGAAGACGCATTGAAGCAAGCAAAGACTGTGGGCCTGCATGCAGCATTTTGCGATGAAAATGATTAATGATGGAAGCAGTGAGCGGATGATGCTTGGGCAATATAATTGGATGCTGTGCATTAAAGTCTAGGTTGGAGTTTTTTAATCGACCACCAACGCGAATCAGGCCATAATCATCTAAAAAAGGTGATAAAGAAAGTAACTTACTTGAGCAGCTGATTGGTTTTTTGCATTCCAAGTTGTGATAATCATTACATAAATTCACCTTCTGAACCATTCGAATTAATATGACAGTACCTTGCAGTATGTTGTTAGTTGTTAAGATAGCAGATCGGTCTTTGGTGATGAATTTGTGAATATACCCAAATACACGTTGCAATTTATAAAAGGTGTTGATGAATTTACAATTAACTGAAATATCAGTTATTTTTACGGTTGAAACAAGAATAGTCTTACGCCTTTCAGGCAAGTCATGCTGGAGGGAAAAAGTTGCAGGCCAAGTATTTCGATTGTCAAGCAAAAACGGTGGTCCACATTTCCAAAGTGATGAAGTTAAGAGTTCGTCTGGAGTCGCTCCTCTTGACAAAATGTCGGCAGGATTTAAATCGGTGGGAACATGATACCATATCATGCCTTTAGTCATATGCTGAATTTTGCTCACTCGGTTGGTCACGAATACGTTGAAAGTAGACGGCTCAGATCTGATCCAAGATAATACTATAGATGAGTCAGACCAACAATGAAATTCAGCATTAAATATATTTAGCATTGAGATTTGATGAATTAGTTGAGCTAATAAGGCTGCGGCACATAATTCCAATTTTGGCACTGTCAGTGTTTTTAAAGGTGCTACTCGAGACTTTGAACAAAGTAAATTAGCAGACGTAGAACCGTGAGATTACATAGATGCAAACACCATATGCATTCATACTAGCGTCACAAAAGGCATGTAGTTCGAGTGCTGCATTAAGTAAAGAGACATAACGTGGGAATTCCAATTTTTGAGTTATATGTAGACGATTGTAGAGGTCAGTCCATGCGGTGTGCAGTTGATTTGGAAGGCTCTCGTCCCAATCTAGTGTATGCTTCCACAAACACTGTAAAAATATTTTTGCCTTTGATATCAAAGGACCAACAAGACCAAGCGGATCATAAAATCGTGCAATAACAGAAAGCACAGAACGCTTTGTAACACGCTTTGAATCCTGACAAGGAACAAAGGTGAATAAGAATTTATCTTCGGTTGGATTCCAGATTAGACCAAGGGTTTTTGTAAACTCACTGCCATCATCGAAATTGAGCAATGGCTCTCTGTCGGCTTCAGGAATGTCATCAAGAGCAGCTAATTGATTCGAACACCATTTTCTAAGTTTAAAATTGCCTTTATTGAGCAATGCAGAAGTTTGTCTCACAATGTCTTGAACATCATTAATGCAATTACCACCGGAAATTAAGTCATCAACATAAAAATCTCGAAGAGTAATTTTGGAACCAATAGGAAAATTTGATGATTCATCAACCGCTAATTGTTGCATAGCTCGAACAGCCAGGAAAGCCGCAGGCTTTGTGCCGTAAGTGACAGTCTCAAGTTTATATACCTTCAGTGGTTCCTGCAGGTCATCTCTCCAAAGAATACATTGTAAAAAAGTATCTGGAGGTGTGATGCGAACACAACGGTACATTTTGCAAATGTCTGCAGTTACTGCAATAGGAAAAGAACGAAAGCGAATAAGTAAATCAATAAGATTTGGTTGAATTGTAGGACCGGCCATTAATATATCATTTAAAGAGTACCCAGTTGATGTAACTGCTGAACCATCAAATACAACACGAAGCTTTGTAGAAGAACTGGATTCCTTGATAACGCAATGATGTGGCAAAAAATACTTGGGATGACTTAATTCTTCATCAGTCAATAGTGACATGTGATTAAGATGCAAATACTCCTTTATAAATGCACTATATTGCGACTTTAGATCAGCATTTCGTTGTAGTTTACGCTCCAGGTTTTGAAAACGGCGTACAGCTTGTTGATATGAGTCACCAAGCGATTGAACATCTAATTTGATTGGTAACCGAACTGAGTATTCACCAGTTACTAAACGAGAAAAATGTGCTTGAAAATGGTCTTGACAATCTAAATGCTCTTTTGTAATTTTGATTATAGGATCGAAACAACTTTCTAATTCCCAGAATTTTTTCACTTGTTGATCCAAAGGGTGATACTGATCATTCGGATTTAATTCACCTTTAAATGTGACTAATGAAGATGATGATGTTGTAGAATATGGACATCCTCCTGAAACTACCCAACCAAGAAGGGTTTTTTGTAACACTGGTAATCGAGGAGCTAAACGAATTTGTCCTATACACAGGAGATCAAAGAAGAGAGTTGCACCAATCAGAACATTAATTCTTTGAGAGTTATAAAAGTTTGGATCGGCAAGTGGAAGATTGTTTGGAATACTCCAATCAGCTATGTTGACGCTTGTGCTCGGATGCTGATTGGTTATTTTGGGAGCAATCACTGCAGTGATGTTAGCGGAATAATCGCCAAAACGGAATTGTATTAATAGCTCAGCAGTGCTATCAGCGACAAAGTCTCCATCCGCGATACCGGATACTAATGTGACTGATTTCGTAGTTTTAAGCTTAAGTGTGTTGGCGAATGCTCTTGTGATAAAATGCAGTTGTGATGCTGAATCCAAAAGAGCACGACATGGTACAAAAACACCAGCATGATTTTTTACTAATATGACAGCAGTTGGCAGAAGTACGCATTCATTTAAAGGATAATTTTGGCTTTGTTGTGAAGCGTTTGTGGAAACCAAGGAAGACTGCACATTTATTTTCGTGTTATTTATTTGATTATCACTCGGCACTGTATCTGAAAATAAGGGAAAACTATTACTGTTATTGGAATTACTCAAATGCAAAAGAGTGTGGTGAGTTCCTGAGCAAACACGACAACGCGACGACTTGCATTGTTTTAAATAGTGTCCCTTCTTCAAACAGTTTAAACAAAGGCCTAGTTTTCTAGATTCAACTAAACGAACCTTTGGAGATAAATTGGAAAATTTAGAACATGTGTAAATAGAGTGAGTCTCGTTGTCACAAAATGTACAGCCATTTGAGCTTGTTGTTATGAACACCCTTTTTACCATTGAAGAATGATTGACTTGTTTGTTCTTGATATGTGCATTAATTTTTGTGCCGTAATTGATATGCTCCAAAGTTTTACATCTGTTGTCAATGAAATCTGCCATTTGATCCCAAGTGGGTATTGTATCAATTGAAGCTTTCTCTTCCCATTTTGCTTGAGATGCAATATCTAGTCTTTGCGAAACGAGGTGTATTATCAGACAATCAGCAATTTGCTCCTTGCTGCCCAGCGTGGTCAATGCATGTAGATGTGAATTGATTTTATCACTAAGACATCGAAGGTCACTAACAGCATTTGGTTCGACACGTCGCAAACCAAATATCTCCTTTATGTGTGCCTGAAAAATCAATCTCTTGTTGTCAAATCTTTTAGAAAGTATATGAAGTGACTTAGCATAGTTAGTGTCACTAATTTCGAGTGACTTTATAGCATCCAGCGCTGAGCCTTTTAAACAAGATCGCAAATGTTGAAGCTTTTCAAGATTGCTAAGTTCAGTGCTATCATCCACAATAGTTCCAAACATTGAAATAAAATGCGGCCAATCAATAATATTACCACTAAAAGTGGGAAGTTGAAGCTCAGGCAGCCTTGAGCGCGAGTACTTTACGTTAATAGAAGGCATTTCGTCATTTGCCAGAAACTTACTTGTGGAATTTCTAATATTTGTCTGTCGACTAGACAACTCTATCATTACTGCAGATTGTTTAATCATAAGCTTTTTTATGATGTTTTGAGTATTAGTCTTTTTCTTTACAATAATTATTACTTATATTTTATCAAATACTAACAATGTCTTTTACGAGGTGATGCTAATTTATTCACTTAAATAAATTGCTTTAAAAAATTAATACAAATTTTGTTCAAATTATTGTAGTTTACGATTTATTTACTTAATTACACACGTAACAATTCATATTATATATATTTTATTTTTTTTTTTAACTATTTATAAAACATTACTGTTTAATTTTAGCGCACAGACTGTCTTTCTTTACACACTTTTCAAAGAGAACAAAAAAGGCTTTTTATATTACAATAGAATTCAAGTTGCAAATTAACATGCGTACGAATAATTGAGTGCGAATGTCAAGAGCTGAAAGCTCAAATGAGTAAAAGAAATGACTCAAAACTGGTATTGATCTTGCTCTACATTATTCGTACACATGTTAAAATGCTTACAAACTCAACTTGCTAGATCTACCAAAGCACCGTGCTCCAACACAGATTTTATGTTAAAGCAAGTTTGTTCAAAATTACCTCGCACATCACTTTCCAGCTCAGTAAAGTCTTCCTGTTCAAGACTCGATTGAGCTTCATCAAACTTAGTGTTGAGTTGCTGCAGAGAGTCAACAAGAAGTTGTAGTTGCACTTCGTGACAATTATTTAAAAAATCGGAAGATAGCTTTATTTCTAAATCATTTAATTGCCTCAAAAGATGAGAGCATTTTAATTTCAAAAAAGTGGGTGCATTATTTTTCTCACCTTCCATTGTTAAAATTAATCAAACAGCAATAAAGAAATTGATTAATGCAGTGCTGCCGACGCAGCAATGTACTGCAACCGAAATGTCTAACAATATATTTGAAAACTGTAAAGCAATGCTGCCGACGCAGCAATGTACCGCACGAAATGTTCAACGGTAGTTCCACAAAATATTTTATTAAAAAATTTGAACAATATTTAAAAAATATTTTCACTAAAGATTGGTTAAAATGGTAGCTTTGTCAACAGTTAATGAATTAATTCGCATGGAGAATTACAAGACTTAAAAGAAAACATTTGCGATGAAATACCAAGGAAACGCAGGACATTAGAGAATATGGGAGCCTCGCATGAGGAATTTTTAGAAATTGAAAGACAGATTTACAATGAAAATCCAAACAAAGTGATTGTACTAGACGCAAATTATACAAACAAAATAGGAGAAGAATTAGAGAAAATGGAAGAGAACTCAAGCGATAAAAATCCTAACGAACTCAACACACTGGATGTTTAGCATTCGCAAAAAATGTAATATTTTTTTACGCAAAGAGAGAAACTGCATCCTATAATAATACCATCACGAAATAGTACTTGTAAAAGAGGATTAGCGTTATTTTGTAATTTATAAGAATATTTCTAGTTTTGTTTAAGTAAATGTATTGGATTATATCAGTTAAAATTAAAAAAAAAAAAATAATAATAATAATAATACAATTATAGGGTTGCCAAGTGCAACCAAAAATAAAGTATTAAAATATTAAATATTTTATATAAAATAATAGCAATCATTTCACGAACACCACCTATATCGCAAAAGTTCCTTGGTGGTTGCGCAAAATTGCCCGTCTCTTCATCTACAGCTCCTAAATTGTGTATAGGGTAAGCACCTTTTTTTCAAGAAACGGTTGCCTATATCTGAAGGTGCAAAATGCTTGTCACAAATTTCATACATTTCTAAAGGAATGTCACATTTTTCACGTGTTACAATAAATAATTTTTATATAATTAAATTGTTTACAAATATATTTTTATAAAAGATAATCATAATAATAACATCCGTTTAAATCGGTATAAAATCGGTATACCGATAAAATAAAAATACAATTTCATTTATGACATTATTTTTTCAATTTTTTCTTTTTTTTTTTTTTAAATATACGTTAACTATATTAACATAATCCATTTGTTCTGAAGCTGTATTATGTGTAACCCTAGAC